TACTACGACTAATCAAGATCTAAAATGTGAGTGTACATTATTTGAATCTAAGGGGTTTCCATGCAGACATATGCTTACAGTAATAAAAAAATATGGGATACACCGCACTACCCTCCACGTGGTTCAAGCTTCGATGGACCGAAAATGCGAAGACACTAAATCGTCATCCTAGATTTTGAGGTGATGTGGGGAGAAAGTTAAGACATGGAGGATTGTCTCTAAAGTGTAAGCGTTTGTGTGACATCGCGTGTGGTAGTGAAGCTGCTTTTAATCATGTCTCTAAGTCGTTGGATGACCTACTCAATGGGCAATTGAGTTCTCGAGGGAGAGAACGGACAACACTGCACCTGCAAACCCTCCAACACCCCTTCGAAGTGTGAAAGACCCAAAAATTGGGAAGACCAAGGGGACATTCAAGTCAGCACGAAGTGCATCGAGCAAAAGCGTAAAAAGTGTTCGAAATGTGGGAAATATGGTCATTTTCGTCCTAAGTGCTCGAAAAAAGTCCCAAAAAAATCTTAAATTTCTTCTATTGTTTTTTAGGAGTTTATTTTTTTGTAACTGTGATTGCATTGTTTTTTTAATTATCTTAATAATTTATGAGTTAGTTGATTGTTGGTTGAAATAAACAAACATATAAAAACGGCCGACATGCTACAAGAAACGATCGACCAGACCAATTGCGGTCGACCTAATACACTGCGCGGTCGACCGTGCATTTAATAAGGCTGACCAAACCGGTTTGTATGACAACATCAACCCAAACCCTATCCTTCCATCCTCTATTTAAGAAACCTCTTCCACTCATTCTATACCACAAACAGAACCCTATCCACCAAACCCTATCCACGACATCCCCTATTCTTCCTCACATTTCCCTTCTTCTTCTTCTCCAATTTCAAAAATCCCATTGAAGAAGAACAAAAACCTCCAATCTATTTCATCCTCCTCTACTAAGAAGAAGAACAAGGCGGGTATTTCAACCTTCTTTTATTTGGTTTCAGAGTCTTTGCCTTATTCTTCGACCAATATTTGTGCGTAATTAACTGAGGTCGACCTCTAATGATTTTGAGGTCGACCTATGACGTTTAGCACACAAAATATTACGCGTCTTGGCCTTCTTCTTCGACCTAGTTTGTGTTTGACTAACTGAGGTCGACCTATGACGTTCTGCATTCTAAATTTTACGCGTTTGGTCCCATTTATTCTCCTTTTTTAATCACCGAGGTCGACCTGTGATTTTTACGAGTTTTGGCTCACCCATTCTCATTTTTACTCCAATTGTTACGGGTTTGGGTCGACCCATTCTCATTTTTAATAAACAGAGGTCGACCGTTTCTGATTTTGAGGTCAACCTATGATGTTGTGCACTCCAATTTTGTCCTTCTTCGACCCATATTTGTGCTTGATTTTCTGAGTTCGACCTATGGTGTGTATTAGGCCGACCTATGATGTTTTTGAGGTCGACCTATTTATTTTTTTGTATCCTTGATTTACATAAATGTTGGGGTTATTGATTCTGCTTGCAAGGAGACTTCGACCGATGATGTTAAGAGGTCGACCTATTGTTGTTCTGTTTTGTTTATGCATGTAGTGTATAGGTTGACCTGTTCATAGAGAGGTCGACCGAGTTTTGTTCGATTGAAAATGTGCCTAACGTTTATTCTCGCTTGTTTGATCTCAGGATGTTTGGCGGCAACAAGAAAAGAAAGTCAAACAAAGCGGTTGCCTCAAGTTCGGAATGGGAAGAGTTCAGCCCCTCTTTGTTCCAGACCAAGGAGCAAATTGGCAAATTTGAAGAGGGTAGAATGCACAACCGCAAGTTGGCTCCTGGAAGGCCATTGACGACGGATGCTTATTCTCATTTCGAGAATTATGGGTTTCTAGCACCCTTTGTCGAACAAGAGCGGTTGAAGGTACTATCTCTAAATGCACCATACTACCCAAAAATGGTATAGTACTTCTACAACAACATCACCTATCAGCATAATGCAAATGGATCCATTCATGCATTTAAAAGCTATGTGGATGGGGTGGAGATGCGCATCAGCAAGAATGTGTTGGCGCAAGTACTAGAGGCTCCAAACGAGGGGAAGAGAAGGTGAACTTGCCATACTTGATCTTTAACCACATGATTACTGCTGCAGAGAGTTCAAGCAGGAATCTTCCCTATGGGATGATCCTGACTTTGCTATTTGAGCATTTTAATGTGGATTTAAGTGGTGAGGTTGGCTTAAGAATCTCAAGGCAGGAGTTCTATACAGTTTCATCTCTGAAAGAGATGGGCTTTGAGCTGCGTAATGGTGAGTATGTCCTAATAAACAATGTTCATGGTGTCCATGGTGGTGATGATGATGAGGATGATGATGGTGATTCTGATGAAGGAGCCGGAGACGAGCCAATACCGTAGGCATAGAGTTCAACTCCACTAGTCACCTTAGAGCGTGTGTGGGAGCGCATGGATGGCATGTACAAATACATGGGCTAGATGTCCATCCAGATGAGCACACTGCAGGTGACCGTGAATGAGAAGCGAGATGAGTTTCGATCTTTCAGTGGAAGATACATGCATCCCACCACATATGACTACCAAAATCCTAGCAACAACAATGAAGAAAATGTGGATGAGGGAGAGAGGGGACAAGAGTAGGAACTCGATGATTTATGATTATGTGTTTTTATTGTTAAGTGTTAAAAATGATTGTTGATTGTTATTCTGTGGTTTTAGATTTTATTTATGTGTGAACAATTCTGATTTGTGTTTTATTGCATTTCTTGTTAGTTTGTTTAGTTGTTATGTTATGAAGTTATGAGTCCTTGTTATCATTGTTCAGTTGTTATGTTTGTTTGAAACATAATTTGTACTTGCATTGAAATACCCATATTAAGTCGACCGATTGGGTCAACCGCGAAATCGAATTACGATCTTCATTTTATGTCAAATATGATGGATAAATGGATACAATACTTCTCTTCAATCTGGTCGACCTCTTCCTGTAAATGGTCGACCATTTTGTTAATGACCGTCATCAAGTGGTCGATCTATATACCTTTATGATCGACCATGTTTCTTCTGACGCAACCGAAAAGGGTGAATGAGGTTTTATAGTGGTCGACCAAAAATAATAACTTAAACTACAAATGGTCGACCGTATGATCTTTCAGGTCGACCGCGATGAGTCCTCAGGGTGCCCAAATTAGTCAATTCGGTCGACCGCTGTTACGATTAGGTCGACCGAAATGTCCATGTCACAGTGACATGCATGTCATCATAGGCACACCATATTCTTTGTATTTGGCATGCAAAAGTTGTTTTTTTTTACATTGCATTCAAAAGTTTATACTCACTGTGTAGTGTGCTTAGAAAATATGATTACTTCAATAGCAATAGCATGCAAAATAATTGTTTGCCATGTGAACAATAAAAGTGGGGTGCGGCCGTGCGGGTCATTCGAGTGACCCTACAACCTACTATCACCAATGACGGAGTCAAGAGTTGAAACGATGTGTGCTTTTCCCCCTTTTAAAATATGAATTATTTCAATGGAGATTTCATTTATAGTGCAATAAATAATTTTATGCTAATCAAATAACAAGAAGTGAGTTTTAGTCCAGTGATAAAATACTCTTTTTCACCTATAGGGATTTACTATTTTCTACTAAAATTTAAATGTGTCTCGTGTCGTGATAGACCAAAATCATCTAGCTCCACCTATGACTACCACCCGCCTGAACAGTGTGATGAGAAGATTTATCGGCCCATAATTCACCAAGAACAACAATTTAAATTATTTACGAGTGAATCGATTTCAGATTACGAAAACTTTTCATATTCTAAATGATTCGTAAAATAATTCATCTTATATTTTTTGATTTAAACCCTTTTCGACCCTTATCCTTTCTTCGCTGGGGCATATGGTGACTTTCATCACATTATAATCATTTTCTGGTTTTGTCTGTATTTATATTTTCCTCTTGTACTTTACAAATTACAACCATAAAATCCTCGCTTTTTTATGACAAAATTCTCACTTTATTAAAACAATATGAAAAGTCTCACTACGATGACTTCCAAGTAAATTCCAAAGGCGGCTAATGAATTAGGCAGAGTTCGTTAAAATTAATGAAATATTAATTTCTAGAGTTTATTACAACTTGGGGACCTCTTTACATTAATTTGAGTATTAAGTAATTGGTCTAGTCTGATGAGACTTGAGAGTCTGAAATAGAGGATTTAGTTCCATGAAACCAAACACATGCACCAAGAAAGAATCCGCTCCCATTGTGATACTTAAGAATCCCAATCAACTCAAACTCTATTAAAGACATAATTTTCCAAAAGCCTTCAAGTTTACAAACTCCTTGATCTCGTCGGTGATGATCCAATCTGTAGACACCACTTTTTGTCCGGGCTGATACATATTAATTAGATAATTTTCGCTTTTTGTTTAAGGTTTGCAATAGCGAATCTTAAATGGCCTTCGACCTAAAACGTATTTGTTGGGCTGAGAATGAGTTTTGTATGCCATAACTCGATGAGATTAAGCAATAGCAAATCTTGATTGATAATTTGATGCGATAAGTTGTGAGTTTTGTGTTGAATACTTACTCGACTGTGTTGGTCGCGGGAATTGACCGATCGAATTGATAAGACATTGGGCTTTGACTTTTGGACGAAGAAAAGATAATAACAAAATAATACTTCTTTTATTAATAACTATTACATTATGATTACCAAGTGAAATAATGATAATTACAAATTACAATTACCATTACTAAAAGAGATTAGTGATAAACAAAATTCAACAATAAAAGCCTTTGGGCCCAACTCAAAGCCCATAATGGTCAACAGTCCAAACCCAGCCCATATCAAGCCAACTTGTCGAACCACATACCTGGTCAATGGGCCAGCCGAACCAACATGGTCCAACCATACCCAATCCATGGCTGACCTACATTTTTACTATAAAAAGCCCTCTTGTCTCTCGTTTTTGGGGGGAGTCCCAAGACAGAGCGGCGGCAATCATAGCTAGCAGTACAACATTCTTCTTCTCTTTTCTGACAAAAGGCAATAGAAGGGAAGACAAAATTCTCTTTTCCTGATTCTAATACACACAGCTTCATCTTCTTTCTCTTCCAGGAGGCTTCCTTCTTCTTCCTCCCCACGATCAGTAACTCTACTTCCTCCTTGGTTCTCCTCAGCTGAAAAACAAACAGATAGAACCAAAAACCAACAGAAAACCCATACAGAGAACAAGAAGGGAGACAAAAATTCCCTTATACCTTCTTTATTTGTTCTTTTTCACCACTTTTTCCTTGCAAAAAAACATACAACAACGATGCGAAAAAAGAAAAGCAGTAGGAGAAGAGGAGCAGAAAGACGAAAGCAGCTTCAGCCACTCCTCCAACCACGATAAAAGGTCAATATCCAAATCCCAACCATTATCATACATAATCAATCATCTCATCTTCCTACCATGTGAAGCTTTTCTCAAAAAATCAATCTACTACCAAGCAAATTACAAGTCGGCAATTCACACTATAATAACAAAAGCAATCAACAAATCAGATATATTGCTTTTCCTTATGGGTTCATTATATTTACTTCCCTATTTATCTCAGTACTTTGATTTAAATATTTCATGTTTAAGCCTACTACAATACTAGACCTTTAAATCTATATTTGTTCATCATTTACTATTTCTTTTCGCGTTCTGCTTATTTTTTGTATGTTGGACTATACACCTAACCATCACTAGGCTAAATTCCCCAGTTAATCCATCATACAGAACACATAATTTCAATCTCAAAACCCGGTTATTCTCACACAATCAAACCCACGCAATTAGTATCAAACTTCCAATTTTGAAACCAATACACCGATTCTCAGAATCAAACCCACCATGAACAACATAAACTTTCAAGACTCAAACCCACATCATAAAACCCACTTTTCCAGTTTCAAAATCTTTCCAGATTCACAAAAGCACTTCAACCGCAATCACAAATCAGTGATCACACAATAAACTACCAGCGATTCAAACTACCACTACCACCACCAAAATCCTCAGAAGCTAAACGATGTTGGCATTAATCATCTACTACCCTACCCAACACCAATACAAATCAAAAGAATGCGATTTTACCTAGAAATTTCCCAGTTCAAAACCTGCAAAAATAAGAAAGGAAAAATCAGAACTATAAAGTCAGGATACGTAAATCACAAAGGAAACAAAGGAAAGACTTCAAATTCAATTATTACTAAAACAAAGTTCCTTTTTGTACCATCGTCGACGCTGGCAAAGCTGGGACTGCCGGCGGCAGCTGTCCTCTTTTCTCCCTAAACCGAACCTTTAAACCCATGAATCAAAACAAAAACCCAAATCAGAACTCTTAACAACTAAAAACCCCAAGAAAAATCATGCATACCCTTACCTGTTAGAACCCACCTGCTCTTTCAGCCTCGTCGTCTCCACGGCCAAAAACGATTTGCCTCCATCGCCGGAGTTTTGAGACATCCTTTCCCATCACTCCTCCTTTCATATGCCTCATACCCAGTAGAAAACAAACGCAAGACGAATTCGATTAGAACCCTAAACAACCAAATCGAGCCCCAAAAATGCGACATGCAACCGAAAATTAGACATACCACTGACCTTCCTCGTCGCCGCGACAATCGCCAGCGTCGACTGCTTCAGTCATCGTCGCCGGTGTCCTTGTCCTCTTCTTTCAGTTCCTCTCAGAGAGGAGAATACAGATCGAGAACGGCGAGAGAGAGAGTGAGGGAAAATGGAAGGGTTTGGTCCATTTTTTTTTTTTACTTTGCTCAATCGAGAGGAGAGCAGAAGGGAAGAGGGATCGAATTGAGGGGAGTGAGCAGATTGGGTTTGGTTTTTTTTCTCTGGTTCGTTTTCGTGGAAGAGAGGACGAGAGAGAGAGAGAGAGACAAAGGGGAGAGCGGCGGCCGGTTTAGGTGAGTGAGTTTTAGGGTTTCGTTTTGATCCCAGGAGATGAACATATACCTAACTTACTAAAACAGCCCTAGGGTTTCCTGAGATTTACGTGACTTGCCACCGCGTTTTGAATCATTTACTAAAATACCCCCGCTTTGATCTCTGCAAGAAAACAACATCGCAAAAGAAACACCTCTAGCTCTACTCGAACACGAAACCTTAAGCTCATAAGCATATAGTGAAGCGCCTAAACACCGAACTACGTGGACTTTGATCCCGATTAACTCGGGTACGTAGGCAACCAATAGGTTCGAGTCCAACTAATAAAAAATATTTTCTTTACTTTCTAGATTTTGCGTCAATAGACGGATAATCTAATTGTATACCAATTTTAACTCTTTAGTCGAATTGGACTCCAAAATACGTAATTAACAAATTTTAAATAATAACTATCTAATTAATCAAATCATATAATTAAATACATCAAGAAAGCCGCAAATAACAATACACCCAATTCTTTAAAAAAAACTTATCGATTTAAGTAGTACCCATTTGGGGCGTTGTGGGATGTGAATACACTTCCCCACACGTAACCGTACTCCCGAACCCAAATCTCCAATATTCGCAGACCAGATTTCTGGTTTTAACCTAAATAACAAAACCGGAAATGGGTGTTCGACCCACCCCAAGCTGCGGTCGATGGCGACTCCGAGCAATCGCGAGCGGTACCTCCGATCTCGAAGGGCAGTTGCGACAGTGGCGTCTCCGCTGGGGACCAATTTGAGAGTCGAGCTATATTATTTATATCGATAAGTTTTCTTACTATCTTTGATATGTTGGGTGTTTACCTTCTCTATTTGCACATTTAATTTATATCGCTTTTAATTATTTGCATTCATTCATAAAAGCTCTATACCCGAGCTGTCCTTATAGAAAAGAGGAAGAAAGTACCGTGACTCATACAATAGTAGGGGAAATGCGAAAACTTTCCAACCAGGTTGAACTCAAATCCGAGGATGATTTGAGGTATCATGCTAAACTCGAAAGGGTTAAAGTGTGGTACAACTTGGGAGTCTGATTCCTTAAGATCCCTATCCAGCATATAGTTTACCTAGAAATTACCTAAACCGCAACTTATCCTGAAACCTACATTAAACCTTGTTGCTAAACCGCTTAAAAACCTAAGTTGTTTGAATATGATGATGTGTTTATGATTCATGTTTGTTTATGATGTAACGAATTATGATTCATCGGTTATACATGAATGTCGTGGTTAGATGCTATGCAAAGTTTATCAAAATCCGTGACACTAGCATTCTTTCGTTAGTTCGTTGTTCACTCGTTTAAAACCAATCATGATGGTAAATGTTCAAACATTCTTGCATCCACAAAAAAAATCATCTTTCATACGCACAATCGTACCATTTAACACGACTATCTTACATTCATCTCATTTAGCATGACCATCATTCACTCATCTCAGTTGGCAACATGTCACAATTTAACCATGATATGTCAAGGATTCTCTAAAGTTGCTCATTCACAAGGATAAAGTCAACCTTTGAGTACAATTTCCAAGGTTGTGCTCGTTACGGAGTTCATTCTAGAAGCAATTTGATGACACCAAAAGAAGGTCAACCATATATGAAGAAATGAAATGACAAGTTGCCATGTTCACGAGAAGTTTGTCAAAAATTCAAAGAAGAAGCCAATCGTCCATACATCGACAATGACCCATTTATCACTCATGGGGATTAGTTGGCACGCTGCAAGACGAAGCTCTATTCAATAATGATGTCAATCCTCATGAGCAAATGAGCATGAATGCGTATTACCTTATGTATCAAACAATCTCCTTCATACTAAAGAATAGAATGTCATTTGCATTTCCACCGATTTGGGACATTGTGTGACTACTACCGATTTTGATTTAGAAGTTTGCATCAATGATTCCTTCTCTTTACAAAGTGATGGACATCTTTCCAAAAAAACAAAACTTTAAGATCAACTTGTTCTCAATTTAAGCCATGAGATTTTCATATTAAGCCAATACAAGCACCCCACTGGTGTCGAGTGATTTATAAATACTTAGTCGATATCAATAATTTTTGCAGCAGAGTGTGCACACCCTACCGGTGTCGAGAGTTGAGCACCCACACTAAACTTGAGAGTATAAACACCCCACTGGTGTCCATAAGTAACATAAGCCAAATAGTCAAAGGGTTTAACGAGGATACGACATCAGGCTATTTGTAGAGGCTTGTCAGTGCCATTTCGAACATCTCTATCAAATCAGGGCTTGACTAGAAAGGGGGTTGAGTTAGCCTAATTACTATATCACAATTCTCAAGTTTCTCACAGAATCCTCATGATTAGAAGGTTGGGGAAGCTGAATAATCATATTTGATGAACTCGTTGGTGCTCAAAATCAAAAGCGTCAAAATGACACCATGTAGGGGAAATTACAAAGTTAAGTAAGTCCCACACAAAAAAAGAGCAAAAGCAAAAGCAAAAAATAAAAAAGCCAAAAAGGCAACGAAAAATCAAAATAAAAAAGAAAGACAGAAAAAGCTCGTGGGACTTACACGTTAGATACCCCTGCACGAGCGCTTGAAGTCATAAAACTAGTCGCGAGGGAAAGTTATTGACTACCTTTTCTAAAATGCCAAAAGGATGATTTCGAGACTACCGTCAACGTGGTCACAAAAGCGATGTAGATTCATTCTCTCAGCCAACTTGTCTACACACTCCTGCGAGGGCTAGTCATCAAATTAATCACCTATCCAAATGAAGAGTATTCGTCTGCCAAACCTGAAGAAATGACACAAGTACACTCGAATAAGATGGGGCACCCAAGAGAAGAATGTCTGCCTGATCTAAAATCCACTCCATGATCATCCTCATTTTCCATCACTTGAACTCTCCCTTTCAAGATAAACAAAAACCACCATTATAATAATGCTTCAACAGCCATGCCTGCACCACAAAAGGGTTTACCACATTCATTATTTTGATAACCAATGAGAAGTCAAAGCTTGTATCATACAAGACCTTCATCATCCATCCTTTCAAGGAAAAAAAAGGGGCACGACAAGTGACAAGATTTCCAGGATCAAATTTCTACTCAAATTACCTAGTCGAGCTTATCCCTCAAAATCAAAATTGCAAGACAAGGGGGCAACCTAAGCCAAAATATACCCGCAAGGATACCCAAGACGAGCCACCATTCTCGGGAAAAATGAGAGCTCCACAACAAAGATTTCATTTACCCATCAATCAATCTCATACTTTGGGGACAAGCCAAAAATTCCTCAACAATGGACTTTTCGCCAAGAAATTATCTCGCCTATCCATCAATCAGTCTCATACTTTGGGGAAAGCCAAACATCCCTCCACAAGGAACTTCTCACGACAAGAAAAGACGATCCCCATTATATATCAACTAGATTCATACCTTGGGGGCAAGCCAAAAATCCTCAAAATGGAGCTGCCTATGACTAAGGCCATATCATAGGATCTTCCTTTACCAACCTCTCATTTGCGACAAGCATAATTTTCATACCATGAGAACTCTTACAGTTGGAGTCATACCAAACCAAGCTTTTTTCGGGAAAGTTCGAGAACTTTTACCACGAGAACATACAAAGATTGCTCGAACTCTACATGATCAACAAACCTATACCTCGAGCACGCTTTTTCATCAATGTGGTGACTAGAATCTTAATAGTAGCCGAAGTATCGTAAACTCGAAGCATCCATAGAAATGAATGAGAGTGAATCTGAGCATGAGAGTGAGAGTAAAAGTGAGGGCTTAAAGATATTCTCATGGCTTGGCTTATGGAAAAAAGTTTTTAAATAATGTGGCAATAACCACACAAGAAATCTTTTTCTCATGTTGCACACACTTCCCTCAAGCGAGCCTTTGATTTCTAAAATCAGGTTCTCATCATACTTTCTCAAATGAGAATTTTCAAACTTTGTTGCATTCATCTTAAGTCAAGATTGGTAAAAGTCACATTTTGTTCCGAAAAGAGGAAAACAAGTAACATATCTACGGGGGCAAGGTGAGAAGACCCGGAGTAGAAGCAGTTCAAATACCCATGAAGTGATTCTCCAAGTCCATCAACTCATGATTAAATGGGAAATCTCAGATATTCTGAATCATTCCGTTCAAGCTACCCAACCTATCAATCAAACCATCCTTCAACGAAATATTTTGTACATCATACCTCTCGGTGAAATCAATCAAGCATGTCTAGAAAACCGACATCAACAAGACAATACCCCTAGATAAATAAAATTCCTCTTAGCCAAGCACGACATGCTCACATGGCAAGAAGATCAATTAAACTAAATGAGCACACTATTGTGATACCACCATGCTACATAATCCTCCTACATAATCAATCTACCAGGCACATATCATGAATAAGAAGGTCATATGGCTAACGTATCAGCCACTCAAGCACCAGTGTCCAAGGTCGAGAAAACTGAGGACCAACCTTTCATCAAAGTCCCCAGAAATACAATACCTTGGGCTCACTAAGCAAACAAAGAGGACAAACTATATGGCAAGCCCAATACCTCGAGATGATGACTCACGCTCGAAGGAAGAAAGTACCTGCCGGAGACACCCATGATGCTCTAGCGCGAGCACAACTAAGGAGCAAGTTCACTAAAAGAATGACGTAGTTCCTTGTGGATGATCGGTTTAAGAGAATCCATGAAAAAATATCGAAGCCATTATTAGGGGTCTTACTCTTCCCTTTGCATACTTTTCAAGACATCATCATATAACTCCTCATACATGCATACACATCAAACATATCACATGAAGTCATTTATTAGATGACTAATTACAAGAAATTCAAAGACAAATATTAATATTCATTAGTGGGCATAGCTTTCCATCAACATATCTCATCGCGACATTGCATCACATCATATCACAAAATATCTTGCATTTGCACATCATAATGAAGTCAAATTCAAATCTTTACCAATATCAAGTTTGACACATACCTAAGATCTACCTAAGACTCTACCAATTGCTTGTTTCAACAACTCATGTCAAACACAAAAATCTATACCACTCGTGATTGAGTTAAACTTTCTCATATCCTCATGAATTTTACCACGATGATACACATGATCAAACTTGCTATACTGCCACGAGGCAAATCCAAACCAGGCTATACTGCCACAAGAAAAAAACCATGCCATAGCGCTACCATGATCTAACCAACCCCAAATCAGGCTATACCGCCATGGGAACAAGATAGAACCATATCATGCTATACCGCCATGGATAAAACCCTAAACTAGGCTCTACCGCCACAGGACCACAAAACCCCAAACCAGGCTATACCGCCATACAGAACCGAATGCAGGCTATACCGCCACACATAAACCAATGTAGGCTATACCGCCATACAAAAAACCAAGTAGGTTATACCACCACACAACAATACCTAAATACCAACACAGGCCCTACCGCCAAGATACCTAAATATCAACTCAGGCTCTACCACCAAAATACCTAAATACCAACTCAGGCCCTACCGCCAAGATACCTAAATACCAAATCAGGCCCTACCGCCAAAATACCTAAATACCAACACAGGCCCTACCACCAAAATATCTAAATACCAACTCAGGCCCTACCGCTGACATACCTAAAATACCAACTCATACTGTACCGTCATGATACCTAAATACCAATACTGGTCCTACCGCCATGATACCTAAAAGAAACTAATTCAAGATGTACCGCCAAAAAAAAAATACCAGTCAGGATATACCGCCATGGGAACAAAAATTCCAAAGCAGACTACACCACTGCAAGAATAGAAACCCAAATCATGCTATATCACACTCTTACTCTCACATATCTTCCATAACACGACATTATCATTCATTAACATTACTCATCCCATGATTGCCTCACAAAAAAAAACTCTCATACTCATTATCACCATGCATTATAATGTCTAGCGTGCCATATCTCGGACAACCCCAGAGCTTTGCGAGCAATAAATGTTTAGGACGTCTTACCCCGAACAAATTTGATTGTCATTGTCTATTAAAATGTCTAGCGTGTCATATCCCGGACAACCCCATAAGCTATGCCATCAATAAATGTTTAGCATGTCATACCCCGAACAGTTTGATTGCATTGTCTATTAAAATGTCTAGCATGTCATATCCCAGACAACCTTATTACATTACTATCAACAATCGTTCAACCCGTCATACCCCGAACAACGTGATTGTATTTTTTTTCATTCAATTTGTTTAGCCTGTTATATCCCGAACAATTTGAGTGCTTTCTTATACCATCTTTCAATTTGTTTAGATAGTTTTATCCCAAACAACTTGAATGCATCATCATAACCAAACAATTGACCCATCCCTAACATTGTCAAAATGTGGCGTCTTAAAAAGAACCTTGTATACCTCTCAAATACGAAGAGATATACAAGGGGGGCAACTGTAGACACCACTTTTTGTCCGGGCTGAAACATATTAATTAGATAATTTTCGCTTTTTGTTTAAGGTTTGCAATAGCGAATCTTAAATGGCCTTCGACCTAAAACGTATTTGTTGGGCTGAGAATGAGTTTTGTATGCCATAACTCGATTAGATTAAGCAATAGCAAATCTTGATTGATAATTTGATGCGATAAGTTGTGAGTTTTGTGTTGAATACTTACTCGACTGTGTTAGTCGCGGGAATTGACCGATCGAATTGATAAGACATTGGGCTTTGACTTTTGGACGAAGAAAAGATAATAACAAAATAATACTTCTTTTATTAATAACTATTACATTATGATTACCAAGTGAAATAATGATAATTACAAATTACAATTACCATTACTAAAAGAGATTAGTGATAAACAAAATTCAACAATAAAAGCCTTTGGGCCCAACTCAAAGCCCATAATGGTCAACAGTCCAAACCCAGCCCATATCAAGCCAACTTGTCGAACCACAGACCTGGTCAATGGGCCAGCCGAACCAACATGGTCCAACCATACCCAATCCATGGCTGACCTACATTTTTACTATAAAAAGCCCTCTTGTCTCTCGTTTTTGGGGGGAGTCCCAAAGACAGAGCGGCGGCAATCATAGCTAGCAGTACAACATTCTTCTTCTCTTTTCTGACAAAAGGCAATAGAAGGGAAGACAAAATTCTCTTTTCCTGATTCTAATACACACAGCTTCATCTTCTTTTTCTTCCAGGAGGCTTCCTTCTTCTTCCTCCCCACGATCAGTAACTCTACTTCCTCCTTGGTTCTTCTCAGCTGAAAAACAAACAGATAGAACCAAAAACCAACAGAAAACCCATACAGAGAACAAGAAGGGAGACAAAAATTCCCTTATACCTTCTTTATTTGTTCTTTTTCACCACTTTTTCCTTGCAAAAAAACATACAACAACGATGCGAAAAAAGAAAAGCAGTAGGAGAAGAGGAGCAGAAAGACGAAAGCAGCTTCAGCCACTCCTCCAACCACGATAAAAGGTCAATATCCAAATCCCAACCATTATCATACATAATCAATCATCTCATCTTCCTACCATGTGAAGCTTTTCTCAAACAAATCAATCTACTACCAAGCAAATTACAAGTCGGCAATTCTCACTATAATAACAAAAGCAATCAACAAATCAGATATATTGCTTTTCCTTATGGGTTCATTATATTTACTTCCCTATTTATCTCAGTACTTTGATTTAAATATTTCATGTTTAAGCCTACTACAATACTAGACCTTTAAATCTATATTTGTTCATCATTTACTATTTCTTTTCTCGTTCTGCTTATTTTTTGTATGTTGGACTATACACCTAACCATCACTAAGCTAAATTCCCCAGTTAATCCATCATACAGAACACATAATTTCAATCTCAAAACCCGGTTATTCTCACACAATCAAACCCACGCAATTAGTATCAAACATCCAATTTTGAAACCAATACACCGATTCTCAGAATCAAACCCACCATGAACAACACAAACTTTCTAGACTCAAACCCACATCATAAAACCCACTTTTCCAGTTTCAAAATCTTCCCAGATTCACAAAAGCACTTCAACCGCAATCACAAATCAGTGATCACACAATAAACTACCAGCGATTCAAACTACCACTACCACCACCAAAATCCTCAGAAGCTAAACGATGTTGGCATTAATCATCTACTACCCTACCCAGCACCAATACAAATCAAAAGAATGCGATTTTACCTAGAAATTTCCCAGTTCAAAACCTGCAAAAATAAGAAAGGAAAAATCAGAACTATAAAGTCAGGATACGTAAATCACAAAGGAAAGACTTCAAATTCAATTATTACTAAAACAAAGTTCCTTTTTGTACCATCGTCGACGCTGGCAAAGCTGGGACTGCTGGCGGCAGCTGTCCTCTTTTCTCCCTAAACCGAACCTTTAAACCCATGAATCAAAACAAAAACCCAAATCAGAACTCTTAACAACTAAAAACCCCAAGAAAAATCATGCATACCCTTACCTGTTAGAACCCACCTGCTCTTTCAGCCTCGTCGTCTCCACGGCCAAAAACGATTTGCCTCCATCGCCGGAGTTTTGAGACATCCTTTCCCATCACTCCTCCTTTCATATGCCTCATACCCAGTAGAAAACAAACGCAAGACGAATTCGATTAGAACCCTAAACAACCAAATTGAGCCCCAAAAATGCGACATGCAACCGAAAATTAGACATACCACTAACCTTCCTCGTCGCCGCGATAATCGCCAGCGTCGACTGCTTCACTCATCGTCGCCGGCGTCCTTGTCCTCTTCTTTCAGTTCCTCTCAGAGAGGAGAATACAGATCGAGAACGGCGAGAGAGAGAGAGTGAGGGAAAATGGAAGGGTTTGGTCCTTTCTTTTTTTTTACTTTGCTCCATCGAGAGGAGAGCAGAAGGGAAGAGGGATCGAATTGAGGGGAGTGAGCAGATTGGGTTTGGTTTTTTTTATCTGGTTCGTTTTCGTGGAAGAGAGGACGAGAGAGAGAGAGAGAGAGACAAAGGGGAGAGCGGCGGCCGGTTTTTTTTTTTTTTTTTGACAAAGATTACCGACTTTTATTCCACCAAACAAATGAAAGACGAGAAACTTGGTTACAATCTTTAAAGAAGATCAGAAATGAGATCACGAATATTAATCCAATCATCAGGAAGCGATGCTCGAGCGTTTGATCGTGCAACCCAATCTGCTCTAACATTAAGTGTTCTGGGCACTTCTTTGACTTTGATGAGAGGGTTTGTTCGGAGAATAGAAACAATCGATCCGATCCATGCTGCACACCTCCATGGCCATCGAGAGCGATCATTATCCAAAGCTTTCACCAGAACCTGACAGTCGGAATGAACCGTACACTCGGATCCATATTCTTGAGCTAATTTCACTCCTTCAAGAAGGGCCTTAGTTTCCGCTTCAATCGGGTGGAACAAAGAAGATTCTCAGCTCTTCCATCACACACTTGTCCATGGTGGTTAACAACCACAACACCATATGCCGCCGACCGGGGGTCGCTAACAAACGACCCATCACAGTGAATCACCAAAGATTGATTGCTTGGTGGTGGATTCGTATGAGACTGGGTTCCCCTAAGCTGAGAGGGAAGGGAGGGCAGGGGAGGAGGGGACCTCGGGCACGAATTCCATTCAGTAAGCTCTTTATACGTAAGTTGGCACACCTTCGGAGGCCACGGAATTCTACTCTTGAAGGCGCATTCGTTTCTTGCCTTCCAGATGTTCCAACAAAGGAAAACAATATGGATCAAGGAGCTGTGCTGAACAACATCTTTAAGGGAGCAGAACCAGTCAAAGAACACGGTTCCCTGAGGGGGTAAAGGGAGAGACGGAAACAGGGCATTCCATGCCTCCTTGGCATGGGGGCATTGGAACAAGCAATGATTGATGGATTCGACTGGGTTCAGGCACACCTGACAAGAAGAATTGGGAGCACACTTCCTCTGGTGCAGTCTCTCTTTCGTGGCTAACCCATTCTTGGAGCATCTCCAAACAAAGAATTTCAACTTCGGGGGGATGTGAAGGCTCCAAATCCACTTCCATTTTTCAGTGTTCCCGCTTGGTTGCATATTGGTGTTGGCTCTGTGAATCTTATGGTACGCAGATTTAACCGTAAACTTTCCCTCTTCATTGTAGTTCCATGCCCAATAGTCCTCAGCTCCATCCTCCCCGATTGGAATCCCGAGGATAGCTTCGAGCTCTGAGCTGGACACATGCCCCTGGATTACATCTGATTGCCACTTTCTTTCTCCAGGATCAATCCACTCGTTGACCTTTTGATGATTCTGCGGGCCAGTCCTGAGAGCATAATTGTCCAAAGTGGGGACCCAAGGGTCCCTATCGACCCACGTGTCATTACCTGATCCAATCA